AGCCTTATAACCTCATTGTATCAAAGTCAATATTACTTGTCTCAATTTTCCCACACAAGAAACGTGATCAGCGAGTCAAAAAAGAAACGTCGTTGCTGGACCTATGGAAAATACTAACTACACACTGAACTCGGATAACCTAAGTCGGTAAAATTTTACTCGGTTTTTGAACTACTGAAAAAGTCTCGTAAGAAATCAATAAAATCGACACATTTTCATTGAATGATTTCAAATAGGTCCGTAAAATTTCGTAATAAATTTCAAAAATTTTGGATTGGTTGATACTAGAAATACTCAGAGGGAGAGATGGGCGTGTTTTGAGCCAAATGAACTGTCAAAATCTGAGCCAATCGAACATTCCCATTAGAATTTTTGCGAGGATTTCTTATTCTTTCTAGAATAAATTTGAGAGTATTCATCCCCTTTATGTTTTGTGTGCTTCTCAAATTCAACTAGTTTTTGGAACCAAAAACAATATTCGAACTCTATTGATTAATTGATGTTCGTTGGTTAATGAATGGCACCAAGAAATGTGCAAAATATTGCGATGCAATCAATTATTATTTTGCACGTAACTCGAATCAAAATTAAGTCATTTGGAATGCTAGTTTCTAGCAAGGGTTGCAAGATAATTTAGGAACAAATCCCTGCTGCCAAATTGAATTTTGTTTTCTCCGCCTATCACTCCCTCTGAGTATTTCTAGTTGGTACCTGAATACTGCGAACTAACTCAAAATGCTTGTCATCTGGGAGCCGATTCGAACTGTCAAATGGGAGTCAAACATTCAAAAGAGCTCAGAAGTCATGTGGGTAGTTACTGCTTGAACCACAAGTAAAGGTATTGCCACCTACTGAAATCAAATTAAGAATTATAATTATGAAACTGCCAAAACATCAACCTTAGTAGGCGGATAATGTAAATCATCGAACGTGATGCTCGAATAAGTTTTTTTTTTTATTTTATATTAATATGAAATAAAATGAAACAAGAACTTAATCAAACTTCATAAGAGTCATGTGAGCTTTGTGGGCAGGTGCACTCCCAACACCATGTATACGTTATTTGTGGAACAGAGAAGGAGGAGCCAAGAGTTCATTTGACAGCATGTATATACGATTTCGTGAGCAAAACAATTTGAAGCTTCGAAAGATTTTCACAATTTTTTTTTTTTTGCTCACTTGAAAAATTAAACCGACAGAGTTCACAATACCCATGTTGGTACTATCCGTTCACTCCACTGAGAGTACCAATAAGAAACTGTCAATATTTCTCGATTTCTCGACGGTTCCGTCAACGCCAATATCAAATGTTGTAACTTTTTGACATGACACAGAAAATACACAGGACAACATGATAACAAATTAATTGAATTAAATCAAATCGATTGTCGACTGCGCGGAATTACCATTCGTGTTGAATAACCCACCTTCATGGTATGCAGTTTCCCATACATAAACTATTATGCTGATGTTTTGGTAAACATTCCTTAAGGAAAAACGCGTATATATTATTTAATTTGCGTTACGTGTAGGCATGTGAAACGCAGATAGTATTTATTTTTTTTTAAAGTAAAAAAAAATTACATGATTATGCTTGTGATTTTATAGCAAATGAATATCCATATAGACGAAGCCTGGGTAGTGATTGGCGACTGTAAAAGGATACTTTTTTATTTATCCATTTTATATCACACACGAAGATTTAAACAAAATGGCAACACTGCATGCGTGAAGGTGCATTGTGAATCAGTCGGTCTAAATGACGTACGTTCTCCGTCCTCTTGCGTAGGGAAAGAATATTGAAAAAGTGAAATGAAAATCATCATCAATATTACCTTTTCAATAATATTGTCAATATGTCAATTTATTGTCAATATATTGATCTGTGTAACAAACGCTTTAGTGAATTGTCATTAATGTTGTCAATATTTATATATTTATTATATTGTAAGGAAAATTGACAATACGATGTTTGTCAATATATTGACATATGTAATGGGCGCTTTAAATTGGCTCACCACTTTAGTAGCCTATTGGTCCCAAGCAAACGATTAACGTATTGTTTTGATTCGCTATGGAAGTTTGACAGATAACATCAGGGGTGTGTGGATTCATGCAGAACATGCAGGGGTGAGTGAAATAGCTTGGGACTGCTTGGGACCGTTGTTCTGGTACTGAGTGAGCCAAAAATAATAATGATTTTCTTCGGGACCCAGTGGTCTTAGAGTTACCTCTATGGTATCACCCTTTATAGAATACATCTTAAAACTATAGTCAAAAGGTACAATACAACACTTTATCTTCCGCTATCCAAAAACCCTCCTCCATCAGAACTGGAGCCGCTTCCACTGGTTTAATTGCATGGCAGTTACGCCATCGGGGGGCAAAGCGCTTCCATTGCAGCAATGGACGCAAAACGTGGTCAGCACTCACACACTCATCACGAAACGGTTGCTTTCTGAAGTCGACGACGCATCGACCGAAAGAACTGCTGATGAAGAACAATGAGGAGGACACAATGGTTGCTGCCGAGAAAACAGACGATCGCGTAGCACACATCGAGAGTGGCCTGCTTTTGTCGACAGCCGAGTGAACACTGATTTTGATCAATTATAGAAAATATTTAATAATTTATTGTTATTGATGTTTCAATCAACCATCAATAGTAAAAAATGGAGGATTTCTCCCAACGCTTCCAAAACTCAATATAATTTTTCCACATAAGCCTAGAGCTTCCTTTTTGAAACCTAGTAGTAGTCACATACACAGAAAAAAATGTAATATCGATCAATGTTATTCAAGCTGATGTATGAAATAATGATGTAATAGCAAAAAGCAGATACAATATTACATCAATGGAGGTAATTTTGTTGGCAAAATCGATGTACATCGTACAACGTTATATTACACAACCGATGGATTGACCTGGTTGCAGCAGTTTGGATGTAATATTCAACAACTTTTTTTTTCTGTGTAGTCACTACACAGCAAAAAATAATTTTGATATCACATCAAAGTGGATGCACTACAATCATGTCGAAAATTTCATGTAATTTTTATGACCACATAAATAAACAAATGCAGTAAAAGCAGCGTAATGTCAGTTCATGCATTGTATTAATGATAATTTTGTCCTTTTTAGCAAGTAATATTACACCATATTTTCGACATGATTGTAGTGCATCCACTTTGACGTGATATCAAAATTATTTTTTTGCTGTGTATGAACGGAGTTCCAATTTGCTGGTCAAACCAAGTGAAATATCTTGGGTTAGTACTTGACCAAAAATTAACTTTTAAAGATCACATTGAGGGCATTCAAGCCAAATGTAACAAATATATAAAATGTTTGTTTCCCCTTATAAACAGGAAATCCAAACTTTGCCTGACGAATAAACTTCTAATATTTAAACAAGTTTTTAGACCGGCCATGCTTAACGCTGGTCTAGTTGTTGCACTATCAGGAAAAAAGCACTTCAAAGGATTCAGAACAAAGTTCTGAAGATGATTTTAAAGTTGCCTCCCTGGTACCGAGGTACATAGAATTTCGAATGTTGAGACTTTAGAACAAATGTCCAACAAAATAATTAATAATTTCAGACAAAAATCGTTGCAATCCTCAATTGCAACGATTAATTCCCTTTATACTTAGATAAGATTTAGTTTTAGTTTTTAGTTTTAAGATGTCAATTGTCATACTGACATGCAGGTTTAAAAGAACGTGTTCAAAATACTGAATTGCCAAGGCAGAAACAATGTAAAAAACACTTAGATATATATCATAACAAATAAGGCTGGTAACCCGAGCAAAGTCCAGCATCAAAATGACAGCAAACTGAAATCAAGTTTTGATATCAACATCAAACTGAAATCATAATTTGATTTCAGTTTCGCAATTCACAAATTTGATACCAAATTTTGTTTTCATTTTGCTGTACATTTGCTCTTCAACAATATGTTGTTACGGGTTTGTTTTCATTGCCTTAGCATAACATCAAATTGAATACTTGTTTTGTTATCAACAGGAAAAATTTATATCAAATTTAGTTTTCAGTTTGCTCTCACAATAGAAATAGTTTTCTATGTGATGTCACAGGAAGATTTTTTTGCTCTCAATTTTGATATTTTAACCGTTAAAACGACCAAAACGACAGCAACCTGAGCAATCATTATCAGCGAAATCACAACATCAAATTTAGATTTCAATTTGATCTCAAACTTTGCTCGGGAAGCTACTGTAGTAACTGGAGCACCTAGGTTAAAATGAAATGTAATGTATTTTGAATTTGGAACAAAGATAGAGTTAAAAAACAAATGGATTTATTTGATGTTTTCTGCTTGATAGACCCAAGTTGGGCGCTTAGACCGAAGAAGTTCTTTACCTTATATAATCTATAATGATTTCGCAGGTACGATCTAACCATATTTTACAATAACCATGTTTTTCTCACATTTAAAATTGGATTTTCAATTTTGTCTTAAACACATTCAACTTGTATGCAACCTTTGCACTACTCTTTGATCCGAAATTCATCCTCTCTTCTCTCATTATAGATTTTCAAATGACCAAGCTAATGCATTCTCTCCCATTTTCCAGCGCTGGAAGATTGATTGACTTTCCAGCTCGCGAGCTACAAATGCTTCATCCGCTCTGTGTCTGTTCAGTTCTTCTAGTGCCGTGCTCGCATAAAGACGGAAAAGTGTAAGTTCCCCCTAGTGCTCCTAGATATTGACCCCCTGTATAATGCTCCAGTCCAAGTGTTTTTACTCTCTCTCTTCTTAATTGTGTCGTGTCAATCGAAAACAGCTGTGATAAAAGAACAATATTCTAGCTTACTCCGGCTGATTTGGATGAGTTAAACCTTGTGACTAGACTATCATTTTACCTAAGCTTTGGAAATCCTTCTAACAATCCTTTGATCAATACAGGGATTTTGCTCGTCCTGATTTGCCGGTAGGAGAGAATAGAGAGTGCTGTTGTTAACTATTGTTTATTTTCATTATTATTTTTTCAATTCGTAAAGTGTCAAACCTTTCAATAAAAGTTCAATTTCTACATTTCGCGCGCAATAGCCATCGTTTAATCATTTAACGACCTATCCTAGCGTCAGTTTAAACAACATCAGCCAACCACAATCAACTTCATCATGTCGGTCAACCGTGCTCCAAAATCCGGATTCGCTGCCGAAGCTCAGAGAAAGGTAAGTCGAAGTGCGGATATCTCGCTGTTTGGGTTGGGTTTGGGTTGAAGTTGAAGACGCAAAGATATGCAATGATGCGGGGAATGTAGGGTTGAATGGGTACCCGAGCAAAGACGGTAAACAAAATGAAAGCAAATCGATATTAAAGTTTGCAGTTCCTACCATAGGGAAAACTCCTGCTGATTTCAATTGTCGGGAAGTAAGTCTGATATCATATGGTGCTTTCATTTGGCAATCATTTTTTTTTAATGAAAGCAACTTAACTTCAAATTTGGCTGTTATCTTCTTGTTGGAAATGTTAATTTAAGTTTATCTGTCGTGGAATTTACGATTATTGTTTATTTGCTTGTTTAACACAGTTTAGGGCATTCGTGACATCCCTAATAAAAATAACCATAAAAGAGAGCTTAACGACGTGTTCGGGGTATCATCCAAACCATCTGAGGGATAGCTCCCACAACAGCTGAACTTTCGGTGTTTAGAGTTTTCCTGTAATTTTTAACTGATATTCCGTGCAAAATTTCAGGAAAACTGTTAAAAATCACCGAACTGTTTACCGAACGTTCAGCTGTTGAGATTTCGGTGAAATTTCACCGAAATTTGTGAAATAAACTTAGTGTGTAAGTCATCCCACATGAGATCAACTGGAGTATTCAAAGTAAGTTGCATCATATCAGAAAATTATGACTTCAATTTGATCTCCAGCTTTGCTCGCGTAGCTCAAAAGCGTTTGCTATTTTACTTGAGAAGTTTACTTGGAAATTTTGAAGTTTGCGTAGCATGAAAATCAATTATGATACTAATCCTACATGTTGAAGCGATCGGTTTCATAAAGTAATTTTTTTGTCTAATATGTTATCCATAATGAGAAAAATTTGTATCAATAGTTTAACCAAGTTTTACTCTGAGTAAATCTTAGAATTTTTTTTCCTATATTAACGAGACTTTCAGCCTTAGGCTGGTTCATATCTACTACGAAATCTTAGAAATCTTAACTGTACACACTAAGATTTTTTTACAGGAGTCAGTATTTTTTTACTGGGTTTTTGAATTGCTGAAAAAGTCGGTAAAAATTCAAATGACCGTTATCCGTAAGGAATCAATGTTATCGGCCAATTTTATTTTCTATCATTGAATGGGGTTAACAGAACTAAGTATGTATAGGTTCAGAACAAATTTTCTCATTAATAAATTTTTCACAAATTTTTAAACTTTTACCGAACAGTTCCGCAATTCAAAAAATCGGTAAAACCCTACTGACTCGATTAGTGTGTATGTATGGTCACTATTGTATGTGGTTATTTGTCTGTTTCTGAAAGCAAATTTTTCTAAACAAAATCAGCTTTTGCAATGCATTTTGTTTTCTTACTATGAAAATGGATTAAGTTTCAACAGTAAATAAAGAGTGCAACATGAAAAGACTATGTTTTCAGGGGTTTTGATTACAACCAGAATTTCGACAAGACTTTGATAATAGCTATGTATCTCAATATTGGCCCCGTAAGGTGGGTAGATAACCTTTTCGTGGTACGTTACGGGATGTAAGATCTACCACCCATTCCTAGTCCTGACTACTTCAAACTAGGGGAACAGGATTTTTCAGTAATCAAAGGAACACATCTGCTACTGCCCTTCCTACTTTTTAAGCCTTGTAATGATGATAAGTCCTTGGGTTGCCCGGACCGAAGATGATCTTGAAACAAGAAAAAATAAGCCAGTCTTCATCTATGCGATTGCTTATCTTCTATTCGTTGTTCCGTAGTCTTATAAGGGTTCTGATATATGGGTATAAATAGCGGGACCTTTCAATTTGAATCGATTCCTTGCGATGAAGGCAAGAATGACAACTGTATCAAAAGCGAATACTTTATCAATAGTGATTGAGTTATACGACATGCACTAAACTAAGGACACGGAATATACTAAAATAGATCAAATTACTGTTCACAGTGGTTTTATGTCCCGAATAGAGGAAACAAAACAGAAACTCTTGGAGTTTCCTTGGTGTCTGACCCTGGGCCGATTTGTCTTTAGGCCGAATGGTTTCCAGCTTAAACAGACTTAAATAAATTTTGACGAGCTTTCAGGCAAAATTATGTTTTTTAAATTTTTAACACTTAGATATTTTTCAAGGATATTCGGACTGTGATTTTTTGTTTTGAGTTTTTACGGAATTGACGAAATTTCATGTCCCCTAGAAAGATTCGTGGTTGGCAAATTGGCAAGCAATTAAAATGTGATGTTTTCATGTATTTTATTTCTTTCAAACATGAGCAGTTCTTTAGAGTTATTCTGGTTTCGCGATTTATGGCGCCATGAATAAAACATGCCATCGTATTATTTTTCCTTGTATTAAACGCTGCTAGTTCTTTTCTTACACCATTCTCATCCGACTGGATGCTTTTTTCGGTATTGATGAAGTTTTATAGATGTACTGAACTTTCGAAGATTCAGGTTTGGAAATTTGGTAAGAAATTGAAACGTAATGTTTTTAATTATTTTTCCATCTTTCAAATATCCACAATTCTGTTACTGTTTTCGTGATTTTGGTACCATGAACAAAATTTGCAATCACATTATTTTCCTTCTTTTAAAAGCTGATTGTTCTTTTCGGTTTGACTTTGACTAAGATTTCCCATAGCAGTTTTTTCTTCTTTCGGACATAAGTTGGAATCATTATTATCGCTTTGAGTTTGTTATGGACTAGCCTTGTTTATACTTCTAATTTTTGGTGTTTGTTTTCTTTTTTAGACCAGTTAATCTTCTTCGCTAAGTGTAAAGAAATATTTTTTGTGAAATTCAGCTTAATGACCTTCGGTCTAATGACCCAGCATCGTTGCCTTAACGTTTAATAGTAATTGAAGTACTGGTTTTTTTGGAGTTCATGCAAGTTTTGGAAGTTCTTGCTGTTCCGAGAGTTGCCGAAATATTTAAAGTCTTCAAGTTGCATGAGTTTCTATAATGTCATAGTACTGGAATTTTGAGTGTTTTTAAATTTTCTGGTACACTGACTAGGAGCGCTTGCAGAGTTGTTGGTGTTTCCAAACATTTTATAGCTGGGTGTCACGTGTCACAATCAGGAATTTACTTCCTCTTTGCATCAGTACCGTGATGAAGGAGATTCTTGTTACTCCCAGCACCGGCCGTTTCTATTACATTTACCTTTGCTGCTTAGGGCTCCTATACAGGTGGTGTTCTCAGCTTGGCTTTCAGATTAGCAAATCCAACCACTGTTGGAGTCGATCTTCGAACATAACTTTTTTAAATAAAAGAGGCAGTATGCAGGGTTGCTTCGGCTCACTATGCTTTAAAAAATGGTTTTCGGAATTATGAAATGATTAGATGTTATTATAAGTTAGAAGGAGAGGTTTGAACAGGGTTGCTTCCACTCACTTCGTTTTAAAGCATATTTTTCGGTATTATGAAATCACCAGATGTTATAATGATATTTCGTACCTGTAAGTTAGAAGCAGAGGGTGTGAAGTATATGTTTGATACATAAAACCTGTAGAATTCGCTTTCAGAGAGTCACAATCAGTGATTTTACTATTCGTGAGCTCCTTCCTATTTTTTATATGTTTTTTCAGATCTTAACTTTTGAACCACTTGACCGATTTTTTGATCAAAACGTCAAATGAAAGATTATTAAATATAGTTTGAAAATATGAATATGGACTTAAATCGTGGTTTAACATTGAAAAACATCGATTATAATAGATTTTCATGATATTCATGGTCTTGGGCCCAAAGGCACTATTGCGTGTTATATATATATTTTTTTAAATTTGGACTTTTTACACAACATATCAGAAATTCAGCGATGTATATTTTTTAGTTTCTGAACTACAATTTTTCAATAATATTAAGTTTTGAATAATAGAGACAGTTTATGAGCAAAAAACTCAATATTTTTTAAAAATTGTAGCTAAGAAACGAAGAAACATACATCGCTGAATTTTCTATGTGTTGTGTAAAAAAGTCCAAATTTTCAAGAAAATACAGTCATCTCCCAAAACTCGATATTGTCTATTACTCAACGCATTCTGCGGTCCCTTCATTTTCCCATGTATCGTACTCTTCATAAGTCGATATTTCTACAAGCGATGCCTCCTTTGGTGGTGTTATTTTGATTCTATGACTCGATATGTCAAAGGTAGAGCTTCTGAATTCTAAGATGTTGATGTTAAAATCATAGGAACTTTAAAAACATTATAACTGGTGAGTACCACGGTCCCATCGACCACATCAGAACATGATCCTGGTGTTTCGGGGGAATGGTCCGTACCTTCAATTTATACCAGGACCTATCATGAGATATATCAGACAGGTTATATTTAATGCTCAGGATGTTGAGTTATTAGGCCAAGCTGAAGGTCACTAGGCTGAATGGTCAGTAGGTTGAATGGTCATTAGGCCGAACGGTCACTAGGCTGAACGGTTACTAGGCCAAATGGTGATTAGGCGAAAATCCGGAAAATTATTTCTGAACACTTGCGAAGAAAATTTGCTGGTTTCAAAAATAAAATAACCGGAACTAGAAGAGTTGGTTGGAAATGCTATCTAACATGAAGCTTTAGTGTGATAATTTATTAGCTAGAGAATGGTCTTAGAAGAGGGTAGGTAGATAGTTCCGTTAGAGTACGGCAGTGAACATTGAATAGAAGTTGAAAATGAGCGAAGGGTCATTAATGCGACAGTACAAGTCGAACGCACACTTCTTCGCCTAACCCAACCCGTACGATGTACGCGGAGACTTGAACAACCACTCTACTTCTTTCTCTCAGAGATGACTAAGTTGGTAAGAGAAGCAACACAATAGTTGGGTAAAGACGAATTACATTATAACACACCATTGACTGGAAATGCTTTCGGCAACGTAGGGCTTTAGGTAGTGATGAAACGACACTAGAACTATTCCACAGCCGCATACAGTATAGTCAAGTGCACACTTTTTTGCCATGCTTCAAATCTCCGCGTACATCGTACGGGTTAGGTGTGCG